CTCTCTGAAATCCATAAAGAAATATTTTTTTTTTTTAAAAAGGAGGTACTTGACCGAGGGGAAGAGGCAGTCACGTGAGGGGCTGCCAGTGCCATGGAATTCTGCGGTAAACAAACACAGAGCTCTTCCTGCAGGGCTTGTTGAAGAAACAGGAGGTGAGAACTCCTCCTGCAAGTCCTCCCCGTGCCAGTCCAGGGTAAGGCGTGGGCCATAAATTTTGACAGGTGTAAGATCGGGCACCCGGAATTTATGGGGGGGAGGGTGTCAGTGACCTTTGTTTTACGAGCTGATATCCTTTTTTCCCCTTCCACATCAGCTAACTGGGCATGTTTAGAATGCCTATCTTTGAAATTGCAGGGCAAAGTCGCCACATTAAAGCACCCAATAGACTAAGCTTCAAGGATGTGGGTCATGCATGCTACAAAATATATTTTTTTGAAAGCTGTCAATTAAGTGAACTAAACTTGTTTACACACCAAGAAAGCGATTTCCGAAGATCCCGTGATTCTCGAAGTTCTGTTGCCCCAAAGAAAAAGGGGTCAAGGGATGAAGGCTCTGGTCAAGAAGTCTTGCTCGCAGCCAGGGGAACTCAGTATAAACCCTTCCGTCACCCCGACCACCTGGAATCGGATGTGAACGTGGCGGTGGGTGTCCTGTTTTGTGCTCCTTTACTGCGACTCAGGCGGCTGGGCACAGTCTGGCCTGGCTCTGACAATTTTTCCATGTTCTTTGGGGGAGAACAGTCTCAGATTTGTCTCTTCTTCCTCACAGTGGAAAGCGGGGAGAGACCTTTGTTTTATGGAGATTCCACGTCGTAGGGATGAGTGGGAGAGGAGCGGAGGGAAAAAGCCGCTTTTGGTGACTGAGCGCCCTACCCGGCGGGCTCCAGGGGCGGCGGCTGCCGGTCACGTGACTGGCACGCGCTGACTGCCGGGAACTCCCAGCTCCCGCTGCCCACGGAGTCTGCGCACTCGCGCCCGGGGCTCTGGTTCCCGCGGTCTGGCAGCTGCCGGCGGGAGAGCAGCTGGCGGGGAAAGGCCCTGGGCACCCGGTGGACTGGTTTGGGTGGGGCTGGCGGGATGGCGGCCTGTGCTTGCGGGAGGGCAGGGGAGAGGGTGCGGGCTTCGCCAGGAGGGAGAGGAGAGGGGCGGCCTGAGGAGAAGAGGAGGCCGGGAAGACAGGGCGTGTGAGGTGGCCTTAGGCTGCGCAGCGGCCCCAGGCCTCGAACGCCTGTCACCGAGGCCCTCCCTGTGTGGTGACAGGACATTTATTTTCTCCAGAAGGAGAATGACCTAGTTGTAAAGGTTTTCAGTTGACAAGCGTGCGCGTGCAGTTACTCTAAAGGAGAGAAGAGGTGGAAGAGGAAAGGGAGGATAAAGGGGAAGGAGGAGAACCACTGTCAGTGGGCTTCTGGGAGACAGACTCCCGGGCGGAGCCTGCGGGGCCGGTGGTATTTTCTGCGTGTTGCTGAGGTGGCGCCGAGGCCTGTTGACCAGAGGCTGACAGGAACCGGGCCCAGTGGTATTTTCTGCATGTTATTGTGGTGGTGCCGAGGCCTTTTAGCGGGAAGCTGGCAGGAAGCGGTGCCCCGGTGGTATTTTTTGCGTGTTGCTGAGGTGGCGCTGAGGCGAGGCTGGCAGGAACCGGAAGCTGGCAGGAAGGGGGGCCCGGTAGTTTTTTCTGCATGTTGCTGAGGTGGCACCGAGGCCTGTTAGCCGGAAGCTGGCAGGAAGCGGGGCCCGGTAGTATTTTCTGCATGTTGCTGAGGTGGCAACGAGGCCTGTTAGCCGGAAGCTGGCAGGAACTGGAGCTCCGGTGGTATTTTCTACGTGTTGCTGTGGTGGCGCCAAGGCCTGTTAACTGGAGGCTGGCAAGAAGGCGGCAGCATTGTAGGGAATTCACCGAACAGACATATTTATTACTAGTTGTTGCTGGCTTATATAAATGAAGATCATATGTGACTAGTCAAGCCGATTACAGTTATCCACGTCAGCATACTTTCTCGAAATCAAGCTAAATGCTGTACATTGATAACTTGAGATGTAGGGACTATACCATTCTAGGCTTCAACAGTTTTTCTTTAGTCAACATAATCTTTCGGATTCATAGGGAAATTATCTTCAGAACTAGTAGAAAAGTCACTTAGAGGTAAAATTTGATGCTCTATGAAAACAGAAGAAGACCGTGGAAGTGACCTCAGGCTAGAAGAGATCTGGTCCAGTCCCAGTTTTACCTGGTTGAGGTTGGTCAGCTGTCCTCGCCCCGGTTTTCATGTCTGTCAGAGATGAGATAGACTCAGATGAGCAATGGTATCTGCTTGGACACTGAGACATTGTGAAGGTAGAAGCATCTTAGATGAATCCGGAAACGAGGCGGAAGTGCCAGACACCAGTTTGGCTGACTGTACACAGAGGGAGTCGACGAAAATCAGGGGAATGGTAGGTTAGCCCCAGGTGATGTAGGACTTTGGTTGGAATTTGGACTTATTCTGGAGCAATGAGTATGCGAGGACAAGTTTTTGAGATAAGGGAATGCAGTAATTACCGTTTTGAAAGTTCAGGGAGTATGGTAATGAGTTTTGAAAGACTGTCCAAACAGCAGTTGGTAGGATGACTTAGAGAAAGGAGAGATTGTGAAGTTTAGGTAAATGACCGGTAATGAGAGCCTAAATGAACAGTGGCAGTGGGTGGGAAGATTCAAGAGATCTGTGTGTGTAGCTTGGAGTTTGTACTTAAGTTTGGCGTTGTTCAAAATTTTGCAGCTCTTGCCTCCAGGTTATGATGGCAAATCACCTTGTAAAACCTGATACTAGAAATTGCAAGAGACCAAGAGAGTTGGAGGTAATCTCTATGCTCCCAGAGCCTTAATACTTTATTTTATATATTTCTCAAATATCTTCCATTTAAGAAAGTTCTGTTGATAAATGGAATTCAAGTTTTCATATTCCCAGAGCTGGGATTGTCCCAGCAGGAACTATATTGACTACAGCTGCTTTTTTACTAAGTTTATGGGAAAACCTCCAAGAAACTATCGGGAGATTTCTTGGTGGTAATTTGTGTCTAGAGACACAAGTGGGTTCATATCTTTATGATATCTAGGACTTCAAATACTTATTTTGCTATAATAAGTAGGAGTACTGGAGTTGCTGATCTTTTAAAATTAGAACACTATTCTGCCTTTCTTCACTACTGTTTCCACCAATTGATGTTTGCATTTGGGACATTGTTATCTTGCAAAAATTTTCAAACATTTGGCTATTGTCTAAATGGAAAGTTTGCTATATAGCTATGGAAACATCTACTGGTTCAAGGTACAGGAAACTTTTATCAGGGGGTTAATAACATATTCAAAAAAATAAAAATAAAATTTAGTATATTGAACCAGGTGCTTGTTGGGACTAAAAGTTTCCTTGGTAATAAAATTTCAAACTAATTAGCATTTAATTTCAAATATAATTAGCAAATGACAAGAGCATATAGTTTCTAGCATGGTTCCTTTTTTTATGAAAGGTGTTTTATTTGCTTTAAAAAAATAGAATGTATATATCCTAAGGGTCCTGTTAACTGTTTACCTATTTTCTTTTACTTTCTTGTATTAGCCTCAAATGCCAGATAGTCCACAACTGTCCTCTCTTGGAAAATCAGATTCCTCTTTCTCTGAAAGCCCTGGACTATTTGATAAAGATGAATCCCTGGAGAAAGATTTGAATGGTGTTGTATAAAATGCTTATATTTCTATATACTTATTTTTATAATACAGAAGGTTTGTTATATTTCATAACTCAGTGTTTTTTTTTAATAGATATGAGCAAGGAAATTAATCTAATGTTGTCTACATATGCAAAGATTTTAAGGTAAGTATTTATATTTTTGAGTCTTGATCTTAGAAGTTTTCTTCAGGAAATTCCATATGGGAACTTTATGTTCAGTGACTGCAGAACCTATCCAGTTACTATAATTTGGGAATTTTTAAATTCGACCTCAATTTCTTATAGTAATTTAGTTTGTTATTTTCAAAGAATAACCCCAACTTTTTTGTTGTCGTTAGTTCTCACCCAAGGGTATTTTTTCCATTGATTTTTAGAGAGAATGGAAGAGAGGGAGAGAGGGGAGAGAAATAAGTGAGAAAAGAGAAACATTGATGTGAGAGGGATACATGGATTGGTTGCTTCCTGCATACGCCCTGACAGGCTGGGGGATCTAACCTGCAACCCAGGTACGTGCACTGATCAGGAATCAAACCCTGAGACCCTTCAGTGCATGGGCTGACACTCTAACCACTGAGGACACTGGCAGGAGCCTAACTTTTTCACTAAGTATCCTGTTTTGCTATTACCATTACGAATACTAGGCTGGATATATTTTGGTTTCTAATTAAATGATACAACATTTAAAATTTTATGATAAAACCTCTTTGAGAAAACTACCATTTGGTGAAGTTAATGATAAAAATGGAGTGATATTAAAGATAAATAAATATATTTATGAAATATTTAAATGTCCATATATATTTGAAGGATGAATTTTAATATTTTATTGATCTGAGATTATCATGTTTTATAAGGTATTTTTTAATTTATGTATTTATTAATTTTTAAAAGATTTTTTAGAAAGCAAGGAAGGGAGAGGGAGAGAGAGAGAGAGAGGGGAATGTCGATGTGAGAGCAAAACATCCATCAACTGCCTCCTGTATGACCCCTACCAGGGATCAAGCCCGAAACCCTGGGCATGTGCCCTGACTGGGAATAGAACTGGCAACACTTCACTGCATGGGATGGTGCCCAACCAACTGAGCCACACTAGCCAGGGCTGTAAGGTGTTTTTTTAAAAACTACTGGACAGTCATTGTATTTAAACAATGGTTGTGTGGCTGTTAAAATAATGTGTAATCATGTACCATATAATGTTTCGGTCAACAATAGATCATAAGTACGACAATGGTCCCATAAAATTCTAATGGAGCAGAATTTCCTGTAAGAAATGAAAGAATGTGTGGCTCAGGAGGGATTATTTTTCCTCAGATGGGCCCAGTATCTGTGGGGCTTGGCAATAGATTCCCTGTTACTGACAGAACCTCAATTTAAAAAAAATCATTCAGTCATTTTTTATTGATTAATTATGTGGAGAGAGATTGAGAAAGAGAGATAGAGAGAGAGAGAGAGAGAGAGAGAGAGAGAGGAGAGAAACATCAATTTGCTGTTCCACTTAGTTATGCATTGATTGGTTGACTCTTGTATGTGCCCTGACCAGGGATCAAATCTGCAATCTTGGCATATCAGGACAAGGCTCTAACTAAGCTATGC